TGGAAGTCAGGTTTTTAACATAAAGATATATATTTTTCCCCCTTTGAAGATAATGCTTTGTCTTTATGTCTCAAGTTTAAAAACATGGCTGTAATGCATACATGTTCTTTTCCATTTGACAGAAAATTCATTTGCAGATTGCCCGACAGCGGTAAAAAGATCAGAGACTCTGTTGTCAAACTGAGAGCTGCCATCGCAGAACGTGAAGAAGTTAGAGGAAAAAGTGAACTGTTTCATCCTATTAGTTTAGACTGTAAACCAAGGCCAACAGCAATGGCAGTTGACGTGGACACAGATGAGGCCCAGAATTCTGACCAGATACTTGATACTCCATCACTGGTTCCTGGCTGTTCTTCTGTAGATAACATCGCGTCATCTAACGCAGCCTCACAACAGGGACTTGTTCATTCTAGTCCCAGAGGTGATGAAGAGGCTCCCCAGGTTGGGCACCCAGTGAACAAGTGCCCAGCTTCCGGCAGCAGCGCCACCGCACCTTCCCCACCCGAAGCCAGTGGGTGTCTCCCTCCGCTTCCTGTGTCAGGCCCCGCAGAAGATAATTCCACCAGCTCCGACGACCTCTTCATTGACAGGCTACAAAGGATCACCATTGCAGACCCAGATGGGCAACATTCAGAAGAAAACACGAGGACTGAGACCTTGACAGGCCTTCGTAGTGGGACACAGAAGAAACCTCATTACATGGAAGTGCTAGACATGCGAGCCAAAAACCCAGTGCCCCCACTGCGTAAATTTAAAACCAATGTGTAAGTACCCTTGGAGACAGACCTGTCACAGGGACATAATATTTGTTAAACTCAAAAAATTGGGAGAACGCTTACGTTCAGGGGACTTTGTGTGAGAGCTACTTGTATTTAGGAATGAGTGTACTGTGGAAACAGTGAGACGGGCCTGGCCTGCCTGGAGTGGAGGATTCATGTTGGAAAACACTTAAATATTTTAGCCAAATAATTGAAAAGGTTTTAAATAGCAGATGGAGTATTATATTGCAGGATACTTAGCCAATATTTTATAATAAACAGAATTTATTATGACTTTTTCAGAACCATTTTCTGGTGTAGAGCTCCCCCTTTGATTAGAATGTCAGCCAAAGAAAAAGCAATTGCAGGAGACCACGGGCTTTCTCAGCACAAGTATTTTGTGTGCTCACTGGATGTAGCAGCAGGTGCTGTGGTCACACAGAAGTGAAGATTCTGCTCATCAAAGAGTTTAGGCTCTAGATGATGACCCAGGGCTTACACACTTGGAAGAACAAACCATGTAACAACTTCAAAGGGAAAGAAGCTGAGAAGAGGTTAAAAAAACTGAAAATAGATTGGGGTAGGACGCAAAGTAATCCTGCTTCTAAGTTCCTTTTCATAGTTTTGTTTCTGAGCTCTTCGGAGAAAGAAAAGCTCTTTGAAGAGTAAAGAATGTTACTTATTTGTATGTAGATGTGGCATTCAAATCGGGGTAGGAACTGATACAGCCTAGATTTACAAGGGTGTAGCATCATCAGGTACAAAGTGGAGCCACCAATGCCTGCCTTTGAAAAACTGAAGACCTCTAGTTGAAAATACCTAAAACCATTTTTATTGTTATAAAGAGACTTTAAAGTTTAATCCTATCCCACTTTAACCTCAAAACGTTTTATTTCTTGCTTCTAGAAAACCAGGATTGTGTTACATTAATTTTTAGTTAGGAGTAAAAAGCAATCTTTGATTAAGTAACCTCTCGTGTTGTGTGCAAAGAAGTATCTTCCCTCACTTCTGGGAAGACAAACATATAACAGAGAATACCCTGACCCCAGTTTTGTGATCCTGTCATTTAGCTGGAAGCGGGAGTAGCAGTGAGGGCTACCTAGGGTTAAGGAAGTTGGGCAGGAAGAGCTCCTGTGCACTTAGAGCAGGTCAGGAAAGGCTGGGCCTTGATAGAAGGCCGTGGGCCAGGGGTTGAGGGGAGCATGAGCAGCTGCGTGGCAGCTGGAAATGGGGGTAAGGCTCCAGTTCTGCTCTCCCTTGGCCGCCTCCTGCATGTTCTGGTTCCGTGGCCACCAGGATGCTGGAGGCTGCCCTTTCCCACCTCTAGCTTTGGTCTTTTGGAACCCCAGATTTACCGGCAGTTACCTATGAAATGTGACTGTGTGGGTATCCATGGCACCTCAGGTTTATCATGTACCAAGTAGAACTCATTTCTTCCCAAACTGACTTTCCCCCATATTTCCTAATTCTTAGTGTCACCTCCTCATCCCCCCTCCCCTTCCCAAGGTGTCTTCCTTTTTCCTCATCTCAGTATCTTCTAGCCATGAAGACCTACATAATACATTTCCTTTGCCTTCACCCTCTTTCCTAAGGGAGGTCTGTCACCTCTCGGGCTGTAACTGTGGTCTGTTCCAGCCTCACGCCTTACCTCTTCACCAGTCCGTCTTCACTGCTGCCAGAATAAAACTTGTAAAATCAAATCGGAACCTGAATAGAGCTTTTCACTGTGTCTGGACCCAGTCTACTTCCCGGGCTTGTCTGGTTGCCTTTTCTGTACTCTCCCTCTTGTTCCTCCTGTGTGCTGCAGCCATGCGCCTCTCCCTCTGCTGGGGTGCCCTCCTCCCCTCACTTTCTTGGTGGGCACTATTCCAGGACTCCTCAGAGTTCACCATCTTCAAGTTTTTCTGGCAACCTCCCTGTCTCCCATTAGAATTGATGTTTCCTCTATGTTCCCGTGTACCGTATATAGATATGAATCATGGTACCTGTGGTGGTATACAGGGTAGGTTTACAGTTGTTCATATGGAAAATAGTACAATCATTAATAAATAATATGAAAATGAACTGTTGGGCATACTCACAACTGTAAACCTCCTTTTGCCCCACCCCTATGCTCTGCTGAAATGGTTGATAAATTTATTTCCCTCTACTGGATAGTAAGCCCCTTTGCAAATGTTTTTAGAATGGAAAAAAAAAAGGTAGCTTCAGTTCAGGTATAAGGTTTGAAGAGAGAAGGGAAGGACAAAGCTACGGTCGAAGGCCCCTTGTGTGAGTGAGTGTGGTAGATGTATGTCTGCAGGAAGGGGATATAACAAGTTTCCCTTCTTCAGGTTACCCCCACATCAGAATGATTCATCGAGGCACCAGCAGAGAAGAGGGTCTCCCATTTCCTCAGAGGAGAGGCTGCGCAGGGATAAGCAGCATCTCGATGACATTACAGCGGCTCGGCTCCTACCACTGCACCATCTGCCTGCACAGCTGCTCTCCATAGAAGAGTCTTTGGCACTTCAGCAACAGCAGAAACAGAGTTATGAGGTATTTAAGAGCATTACCTGTTTACTGTCTGTATGTTGGATGCTATTTATGTAAGTCAGAATTTACTTCAGGGAGGACGGATTTAACAGGGATTAGGTGCCAGAGAAATGGCACGTAAGTGCCATCAGCTCTCAGATGTGTGCCTCTAGTTTTCAGTCTTGAAGTTGCTAGAACTGCAGGAAGCAGCTGGAGGTGATCACAGCAACCTGCAGCACCAAACTGGTATTGGCCAGGAAATGCTGCCACCTGGCACATCTCCGAAAGCCCGGCTCTTAGGACAGCAGGAGTATCATTTGTGTCCTCTCCCTTCTAAAGCCCCTGGGAGAGCTGCTCAGTGGTGGGATCTAACCAGGACCTGCAAAGAGAACCAGGGAAATGTGGCTCCGGCTCCCATCTCCTGTGACACATGGGAGGGCATAAAGCGGGTGGGGGACAGTGTTGTGTTCCAACAGACAGTTGGACAATAGGGTTAGAAGCCTAATCGGCAGGCTCTTGTGAAGATAGAAGAATCTCCTACATACAGTGACTTAGTCATGTTTGTATAGGACTGTTTTTGAAGATCTGTATGTTCTACAAGAACTTTAAACAAGTATATTGACAACTTGTGTACAGAATAATGAGATGGAAGAAAATAGGTGTGAGAACCTTAGTGAGAAAAGAAAGGGTTTGATATACTTAGTAATAATTTGAGTCTCTAGAAAAGTAGTAGCCTAACATCTTAATATTGCTTAGACTTTAATCAGGTAGTATACGAGTATAGCAGCTAATACAGAACCAGGCTGCTATTCTGCTGTGGCTTTTCATAAGAGATCAGTTGGCATGGATTGGCATCGTTAAGGCACTCGTTTTCAAAGCCATTTTTCTTCCTCTCAGTGCATTAAAATTATACAGCCATAGCATTGAGGAATTTTTAAAAAATTGTTTATATGGTCTTAAATGCCTGTCCTAAGACACTTTTAGGTTGAATTACACCCGTCAGTTTGAAGTTGACTTCCTTGGCAGAGTAGTTGTAGCTCCTGCTTCAGTCCTACTTTTCCATCATGCCCATGGCCCGAGGGGGCGATCCTAAAGGAGCTCCTGTGGTGTGGGAGAGAGCATGAGGAACGTGAGGGCAGAGCTAGAAATGAGTGTTGCTGCCTGCCATACATCCATACACCGGCGGTTTATCCTTGTGTGTATAGAAGCACATTGCCAGAATCTGGATTGGACACTTTTCTGCATAGTAATTTTCTTGGGACTTTATTTGGAGAAGGATAGTCAGCTTTCCAGTATTAACTTTTTGATTTTTATTGTGGCATTGAAAGGTAACTCATAAGCCTAGAAGCCATGATTTAATCTAGGACAGATGATTGTCAGTTGGAGAATCAGCGCAGCATTAGTGATTTTTGACATTTGATAACTCGGATTGTTCTATGAGTTTGCATATACCCCTGTGTGTATCCACATACTTAAAAATATGTCTGTATTTATAACTGTTGTAATGTGAACTGATTACTCAGTTTCTCATGAAGAGGTGGGATATTTCCATGCACGTCATTAATGGACGTCTGTAGCTACAGCTGTAGCAGGCTAGTAGGTCTCCCAGCACAGCTCTGTTGCATCTGTGGTAGACACAGCTGTCAGGCTCGGTGCATCGCTGTTGAGCTCTAAGTTTAGGAATTGAAGGGAAAATATGTGAGTGTGTAACTTCTTGCTTTACATTTTATTTTAAAGGAGATGCAAGCCAAGCTCACAGCACAAAAATTAGCTGAAAGACTGAATATTAAAATGCAGAGCTATAACCCAGAAGGGGAGTCTACGAGGAAATACCGAGAAGTAAGGGATGAAGATGATGTGCAGTCCTCTGATGGTGAATTCTGAAGACGGGCAATGGGTACTTTCCTGACTCTGCCTGTTGAGATGTCATTTTCTTACATCAGACTTTCTAACAAGTATCAAGATCAGTGTCAGACGTTGAGGGAAAGAATTTTATAAAGTTACGCAACGGTAGCTATAAAAATAGTTTGTCTTTCAGAAGATAACTTTTATGTACTGGAAACGTTTAACATTTGAATGTTGTGTTTAAACGTATTAAAGTTTTGCAGTATGTTGTGTGTTGTCTGATATTTTAGTATATAGTAAAGAACATTTTTTTTCTCTAAGCCAAATGAAAGCAGGTAATTGCTTTTTTCCCTTCTTTTTACCTCTATCAAATAGCTTTTATTACATGCCTTTCAGTGAAATACTTAGTTGTCCCAGGCATCACCTAAAATGAATTAGGAAGATACAGTTCCCTCTTCTTTTGAGTAATGAAGGGAGCAGTCTAAAGAATTTTATGCATGTTTGCATGGGCTTATTGAGGCACTGGATGGGAAATACCTAGGAAGACACTGATGGAAAAATGCTTGAATGTTTGTTTCCTTCTTCTGTCTTCCTTTGGAAGAATGTTATCTTTCTTCTGGTTACGAATAAGGACTACATTTGACTCTTGAACAACGCAGGGGTTAGGGGTGCCAACCTGATGAGTTGAAAATTGTATATAACTATTTTTAGTTCATGTTGGAGGGTGGATGGTCTCTGAATGACCAGCTTTGCCCAGGGTAACATGAAATAAAGGAAAGTCTAAGATGACTGATGAGGTGAAGGGAGCAGCTGTTCATATACCTGACCTGATTTGAGTTCATTGCTCTTAACAGATGATAGATTCAGTTTGGTGAAAAAAACACAGTTTTTTTGTTTTTAAGCTATAATTGAATTATTGTCAATACATTCCCCCCCCCCCCCCCAAGAAACATACATATGTAGGCTGCAGAAATCTCAATCTATATATTCGTGTTTGTAGGATTATATGATTGTCTCCAGTGAAATTAACATGTATGTTATCAAAGATTTCTTTAATATGTTGGAGCTTTTAAACAGTGCTGAAAGCAAGAATAAAATGTTAATTAGAGCAACTTCAAAATTTTAATGGTAATGTGTTACTGGTGCTTAATGAAATTTAACTTACTTTTAAAGAGACTTTTCATATATGTAATTTGATGGAAAATACATTTAGGTCAGATGTACAAGGAGAATAAGGGCTGAGTTCTATATCAAGCCTGCATTGCCCTCAGAAAAGCAAATTAAAACTATACTGAACTAACAATTTCATTATTTTTAGTTTGTAAAACTAATAGTAAATGATTTCATAGCATAAAGTTATTTGTTGTTCTTTTGTTAGAGGATGAAATAACACATGTTACTGGTATGTCTGGAAAGTAGGATAAGGTGGAAGAGTTCACATGCATACATGCATAATTGCTGTAATTCTGCTACCCAGAGAGGTTCTGTGAACACTTGGGTATATGTACTTGTACATATTTTTTTCTATACATAACTATCCATGTATATTTTCAACTAGAGGCCTGGTACACGAATTTATGCACGGATGGGGTTCTTTGGGGCGGCCTGCAGAAATCAGGCCCCAGCTCACGCCCCCAGCCTTGTAGCCCCGCAGCCCCACCCACCCCGCCTTGGCCTGGCACTGCCCCGTCACCTGCTGCACCATCCCACCTGTGGGACTATCAATCAGAGCTGGGCGCCCCCTACCCGACTCCCTCAGTGTCTAGGAGCTAGGCAGTGGCCCTGCCCCCTGCCACCACCACTGCAGGGTGATCAGCAGGGTGATTGGCCCCCGCTTGCACCTGCCTTGAACTGGTGCCGCCCGCTCACCTGCTCCACCATCCCGCCATAGTCCCGCTCTCATTGGGGCCTGTCGGGGTCCATTGGGGCTGGCAGCGCCTCCAATGCCAGCCTCTGCTGTGTTCTACGCTGCCCCCTCGTGGTCAGAGCATGTCATAGCAAGCGGTGGAACGACAGCCTGAGGGAACAATTTTCATATTAGGCTTTTATTATAGGATAGTGTAATCACACTATACATTAACTTATAATCTGCTCAATATGTTGTGAACATTTTCTCATATTAAATATTTTGCATTTTAGATAGCTGCAGACTATTGCATTTTATGGGTGTACCATAACTTTTAAAAATCAACTTAGTGTTTAACAGTTAGTTTATTAATTATAACTAAATGATGCTATCAACTTCTTAAGAGATAATCACACATGTACAAAATGACTTATTTCCAGAAGATCTTTTTCTAGAAGTAAAATTGGTAGGTGAAAGGTAAGTGTTTGAGAATCTTGATAATATATGTGTGTGTGTGTGTGTATACATATATATATATATAATCACTCATCACAAGGATTGTGTCCTTTTACATTCCCATTAGCAATACATCAAACAACCAGAATTGAAAATTGCTGTTCAGAATCTTTGCAAATTGAATAGTTGCAGAAAAGGATACCTATAAAATTGGTTTCTTTGATTACTTAATGAAGAGTTTTTTTTTTTTCATGTTTATTGACCATTTGCTAGTATATACATTTTGGGGGCATTCTATATTCTAGCCTATATAATAAAAGGCTAATATGCAAATCGACCAAACGGTGGAATGACTCTTTGCTATGACACGTACTGACCACCAAGGGGCAGATGCTCAATGCAGAAGCTGACCCCTGGTGGTCAGTATGCACCCACAGGGGGAGCGCTGCTCAGCCAGAAGCCAAGCTCATGGCTGGCGAGTGCAGCAGTGGTGGCAGGAGCCTCTTCCGCCTCCATAGTAGCGCTAAGGATGTCCTACTGACCGCTTAGGCTGTCAACAGACATCCCCCAAGGGCTCCCAGACTACGAGAGGGCGCAGGCCCAGCTGAGTGACCCCCCCACCCCTGAGTGCATGAATTTCATGCACCGGGCCCCTAGTTATCTATATTCTCTTGGAGAATTTGTGATTTTGATTGGTTTATAAGTTCTTTATAAATTAAGATGCCCATCTTTTGTTATGTTGTTACTGTTTTAGTGTATTATTTGCCTTTTAATACAGTTCATGGTGTTTTTGATGTATAAGTTTTCTTTAGGATTCTACCTTTGCAGATATGCTTGTGCTTGAGCATGCTTTCCCCACTCCAAAGGTGGATACATATTTATCCTTATTTTCTTCTAGTACTTCTTAAGACTTTCACTTTTATACTTATCCTTAACGTAAAAGGAAATTTTTGATCCATCTCAACTTTATTTGGGGATATTGTATGAGGTGAGATTTAATTTTATTTTTTGCCAATAGTTGATCAATTGGTTTAGTATAAACCACCATTTCCCCACTGATTTGTAATGCTGCCATAGAATAGTCATAGATGTCTTGGACCTATTTTGTTTTCCCCACACTTTTTAGTAATTATGGCTTTAATTAGCATTAATATTTGGTAGTACAAGGCCTTCATTCTTTAAAATTTTGTAAAATATAGCCTTTTTAATTTTATAAAATATAACATAAAACAGGTGTGCTTTTTAATGGATAAAGCAAAAAGCTATGTTATCACAAACCAGATGCAGAAAAGCTACTGCCAGTACTCCAGAATCTCCCCGTGTGTCCCCTGTTACCCCCTTTCCTCCCCTGCCAAATATAACTACTATCCTGACTTTATGGAAATACTTCCCTCATCTTTAAAAAATGGTTTTACCAGTTATGTATGTAACTATTTAGTTTGTTTTGCTGACTTTTGACTTACAAAAATGGAATCATAGTGTACATTGTATCTGATGTCTTTCAACATTATTTATAAAATTCACGTCATGTTTAAGTGTGGTTTATCCATTTTCATTGCTGTTTCATGTGCCATTCTGTTAATACCATTCTGTGATAATCACTGCTATGGTAGTTTTAGTTTGGGCTATTAAAGGCAATGCTGCAATGAGTGTCTGTGCACATAAATTTCTGTAGGATATTTACCTAGGAGCTGAAATAGAAGGTGGTGTGCACATCTTTAACATGACTTCCCACCACAACCCATCCACCATGTATGACACTTGCAGTTCATCCACACTTGGTATTGCCAGACTTTAATTTTAGCCAGTATGTTTTCACAGTAGATAGTCATTGGGTTTTATTTTGCACGTCCCTGTTTGGAATGGCATTGAACATCTTCATATGTTTATTGGCCACTGGATTTCTTTTAAAAAGCGCCCATCCAAGTCTTTCCTTGATCTTTCTGTTGTCTCTTTCTCATTGATTTGGAGGATGTATTCCTGATACTAATCATTATTTGGTTATATTTGTTGTAAATCTCCTTATCCTCTCTGGATTACTTTTCTTTCTTTTCATGGTTTTGATGAACAGAAATTCTAAGTTTTAATGGCAAGTCTATCAACCATTTATGTTTAGTGTCTTTTGTATCTTAAGGAATCATTGTTTATCCTGAAGTCATGAAAATATTCTCTTGCCTTTTAAAATCTTTTTCATTGAAAAATGTTTCATAATTTTACCTTTCCCATTACGTCTTTGATTCCCCTTGGAAATTATTTGTGGCTGTGTGAGGGAGTATCCTCCTGCATAGCCGCTTGTCCTGGCATCATGCAGTGCACTTCCGCATATTGCGTGTATGTATATGTCTGTTACTTTCTGGGTTCTCTCTGTGATTCCATTAATCTATTTGTGTTACTATTTCACCACATTATTTATGACAGCTCTGTGATAAGGCTGGAGTAAAGCCTGCCATCCTATTTTGCAAGAGTGGATTGGGCATCTTTGACCTTTTGCATTTTCATATAAATTTTATTATTTTATTTTTAAAAAATCTTTATTTTTGAAAGTATTACATATGTCCTTTGCCTCCCTTGATCCCCTCCAGCCTACCCTGCCCCCAACCCCAGACCCTCCCACCCCACTGTCAGCATCCATGGCTATGTATATATGCATACAAGGTCTTTGGTTGATTACCTCCCAACCACCCAATCTCCCCCGCCTTCCCCTCGAGATGCTGCACTCTGTTCCATGCTTCCATGTCTTTGGAACCACTCTGGTCACCAGTTTATTTTGTTAATTAGATTCCATATACGAGTGAGATCATGTGATACTTGTCTTTCTCTGACTGACTTATTTCTCTTACCATGGTACTAGAACTCCAGGTCCCTCCATGCTGTCTCAAAGGGTAAGAGATTCTTTTTTACTGCTGCATAGTATTCCATGGTATAAAAAATGTACCACAGCTTTTTTTATCCAGTTATCTAATGATGG